GCAGGGTCACCCGTGGTGGACAGGTTTCAGTGCAGCTTCCAGACTAAGACAGACTTGGAAGAAGGAAGAGGCCATCTACTTCTCAAAGAATTGACTAGTGAAAACCTTATGAATACCAGTGAAACACTGTTTGACATATTACTGGAAAACTTTATGAATAGCCCTGAAACCTTGTCTGATATAGTACCAGAAGAAGAGCCCCTCAGATTGGAAGGCACTCAAAATACGACTGGGGAAAAGCTGCCTCCTCAGAGTAGAGACAATCTTAATGATGTGGATGGACTAAAGCTTTCAGGACTTTGCTTTGTGGATGTGGGATGACTCAAAATGAGAATAAATAGTTGCAAACATCCATTAATAATTGGAACATGGAATATACAAAGTATGAATCTAGGAAAATTGGAAGTTGTCAAAAAGGAAATGGAGCACATAAAGATTGATATCCTAGGCATTAGTGAGCTGAAATGGACTGGTTTTGGCCATTTTGAATCAGACAACCATATGATCTACTATGCCGGGAATGAGGAATTGAACAGAAATGGTGTGGCATTCATTGTCACAAAGAATGCTTCAAGATCTATCCTGAAGTACAGTGCTGTCAGTGATAGGATAATATCCATACACCTATGAGGAAGACCAATTAACACACTATTATTCAAGTTTACGTACCAACCACCAAAGCCAAAGATGAGGAAATTGAAGATTATTACCAACTTCTGCAGTCTGAAATCGACTGAACATGCAATCAAGATGTGTTGATTATCACTCGTGATTGGAATTCAAAAGTTGAAAACAAAGAAGAATCACCAGCAGTTGCAAAGTATGGCCCTGGTGATAGAAATAACGCTAGAGATCGCATGATAGAATTTTGCAAGACCAATAGCTTATTCATTGCAAATACCCGTTTTCAACAACACAAACGGTGGCTATACACATGGACTTAATGAAATGGAGTACACAGGAATCAGATCAACTACATCTGTGGAAAAAGGTGATGGAGAACTCAATATCTTCAACCAAAACAAGGCCAGGAGCTGACTGTGGAATAGACCATTAACTGCTCATATGCAAGTTCAAGTTGAAGCTGAAGACAATTAAAACAAGCCCATGAGAGCCAAAATGTGACCCTGATTATATTTAGAGACCACCTAAAGAAGAGATTTAATGCATTGAATACCAATGTCTGATAACCAGAGGAATTGTAAGGTGACACCAAGAACATCATCCATGAAGAAAGCAAAGAGGTCATTAAAAAGGCAGAAAGGAAGAAAAGGCCAAAATGAATGTCAGAAGAGACTCTGAAACTTGTCCTTGAACAGAGAGTAGCTAAAGCAAATGGAAGAACTGACAAGATAAAAGACATAAACAGAAGATTTCAAAGAGCAGCTCAAGAAGACAAAGTCAATTATTACAATGAAATGTACAGAGATCTGGAATTAGAAAACCAAAAGGGAAGAACACGCTTGGCATTTCTCAAGCTGAAAGAACTGAAGAAAAAATTCAGGCCTCGAGTTACAATATTGAAAGATTCTTTGGGCAAAATATTGAATGATGTAGCAAACATCAAAAGAAGATGGAAGAAATACACAGAGTCACTGTACCAAAAAAAATGGTTGATGTTCATCCATTTCAGAAGGTGGCATATGATCAAGAACTGATGGTATTGAAGGAAGAAGTTGAAGCTGCACTGAAGGAATTGGCGAAGAACAAAGCTCCAGGAATTGATAAAATACCCAGTGAGGTGATTCAACAAACAGATGCTGTGCTGGAGGCATTCACTCAGCTATGCCAAGAAATTTGGAAGACAGCAACCTGGTCAACTGACTGGAAGAGATCCATATTTGTACTCATTCCAAAGAAAGGTGGTCCCACAGAATGTGGAAATTATCAAACAATATCATTAATATCACATAAAGTAAAATCTTGCTGAAGATGATTCAAACACGGGTTGCAGCAATATATTGACAGAGAACTTCCAAAAATGCAAGCTGGATTCAGAAGAGGACGTGGAACAAGGGATATCATTGCTTTCCCCAGGTGTGCTTTCCAGAGCAATTATTGCGAGCCCCCTTGGCCCCATGTGACATGCAGTCCCTTTACCATTCTCTCCCAAGTCCCTCTGAAATTAGCTACTGCTGGAGTCCTCCAAGCTGGGGCAAAGCTCCTCCTAGTTTAAACCATTTACTAGACTCGGCCTAACTTGTAGACAACTTTGAACCCATGACCTGTGCTGACCATCCTCTGTGCTTATACTCTTGCTCTTTGCTAGGATATTGGCTTCAGTAGCAACTGTATATGCCCCCAGGCAAGCCCTGGGCTGAAGAGTAGGTATTTCTATCACTTCATCCTCTGACAGCTACTCCAGTCCTCTTAAAGACTGCATCACTGTTTTATTCACCACTAAGAAAAAACACTGCCAATTAAATTATGACTGATAGTGTTTAATTTCCACATCCATTGTGACTCATCCCTACTGTGAAAAAATGTGTCAGAGAATAGGTAAACTATGATGATAGGACCTTCCTCATGATGTGAGGACTAACAAGATCATGCATGCAAAGTGCTTAGCACAACGAGTAGCACAGTAAACACTCAATAATGATAGCTGTTTTTACTCCAGTCCTCCAGCAGCTCACTACTGCACACCTCTCCAGCCTCATGCTTCCTTCTGCCTCTGCTCTGGCTATGACAGATGACTTACTGCCTCCGCCTCTTAGCTCTTCCTGCAGTGCCCCATCCCCACCGGCCCCCTTGTTAACTTCCACCAAACCTACCATGTCCTCAGCTGTCACTGCCTCTGGAATGCCTTCCCTGATCATCTCCACTTTCCGTGTTCTTTCTCATTTGTCACATAAGGGTCACACAACAAATCCAGAATTATTTGCTTCCTCGTCTGTCTCCTTCCCTAGAACAGGACTCTGAGGACAGGGACTGAGTTGTTTATCTTTGTGTCTCCAGTTCCTGGCACAGTGTCTGGCCCATGTAGAGGCCCAAGAAATGCTTGCTAAATGAGTGACACTCTTCTGATGTTTAATACCCGAGTCCTTGGGTCGCACAAATGGTTAAACACTTGGCTACTAACCTAAAGGTTGGAGGTTCAGTTCTACCCAGAAGTGCCTTGAAGAAAAGTCTGGCAATCTACTTCTGAAAGATCACAGCCATTGAAAACTCTATGGGGTACATTTCTACTCTGATATGCATGGGGTTTCCATAAGTTGGAATCGACTCCATAGCAACCTGAATTTGCATAGCATTTTATAGATTAACAATTAAAAAAAAACCAAACTATTTCCTCATTTCATTGACCTGAGCAGGTAGAACAGGTGGTGATGGCCTTGTTTTACAGTTGAAAAAACTGGGCAGACACATTAAGGGACCCACCTGAGTGCCCAGAGCCAGGTTAGTGACAGAAGAAGAATTAGAGCCTAGTCTCTGGCCTCTTACCAGCTTAGAGGTTGATGGGCCCTTGGCTTAGAACAGAGCAAACAAACAGCCTGCTGATCAGACAGCCTGCAGACATGTTTTGAAGAAGCTGCCAGCAATTAAAACCTTAGAGATTTCACACAGAAATCCCATTACTAGCTTTAAAATCTAAGCATCCAGCAACCTTGGTCATGCACACCCACCTGGCAACAATTGGTGAAGTGTGTGCTCTAGCTTCTCAGGGTGTACACCCTCCCTATTTCTTGTACTCACGTACAACAAAAATGTACCACCAAACCAAGAATGAAACCCACTGCCAATGAGTCAATTCCAACTCAGAGCAACTCCCGTAAGGTTTCCAAGGCTGTAAATCTTTATGGAAGTAGCCTGCTTTATCTTCCTCCCATGGAGCAGCTGGTGGATTTGAACTGGCACCCTTAAAGCCTTTCCCACTGTGTCACCAGAGCTTCTTGTGCCTCACCACAGTAAACAATAAATTTGCAACCCCTACTTAGAAATTAGGAGCTCTGGTGGCATAGTGCCTAAGGCATTTGACTGCTAACCAGAAGGCTGGCAGTTCAAACCCACCAGCCACTCCTCAGAAGGAAAGTTAGGCAATCTACTTCCGTAGTGATGCTGCCTTGGAAACCCAGGGAGGGGTTTTTGTGAGTCAGATCTGACTGCAGTGAGTTTGGTTTTTTGGTTTTTGGTACTTAGAAATTATCCTGCCAGATGGTGATCCTTGTGGGCAAGATCTCCATCCTCTTTGTGGTTATGTCTGTGGTCCTTAGCTTGGTGCCTGCTATGTCATCAGTGAGCAGGGGTGTGGTAGTTCAGTTTGTGTGTCAGTTTGGTTGGGCCTGGTTGAGTGGCTTGGCAGCTGGATGTAGTTATTCCCCATGATGAGACTGGTATTCAACTCCATGGTGAAACTACTGTGAGCAGCTGAGTAGCTGCCTTAAGGGCGTGGTCTGCTTCCTGTATATAAGAAGCAGCTTTGGGAATGCTTATGGCATGCTTGAACCCTGCATGTAGCTGTGTCGTTATTCAGCAGCCTGCCACGCTCTGCTGATCTTGGGACTTTCAGTGGACTTGAATGAATGGCCTACAGTGTGGTTTGGTAACATCAGGACTGTGCCTTTTTACTTGTTAACCTTGGGCTTGTCAGTCTCAGCAGCCAACAGCTGTCTGAGTGAAGAAAAGCCTCTAGCTCCAGTGGGCCAGGAGCAGGAGGCAGAACTGAAGCCCAAGGTCAAGGGGCTTTCATCCAGCCCCTAGAGCCTGGCGCTTTGAACTCGGACTTAAAGCCTCCAAAATTGTAAGAGAATAAACTCCTATTTGTTAAGGCCATCCCATTGGTGGTATATTCTTGTCAGAGCAGCACTAGGTAACCAAAACAAGGGGTGAAGCAGGTCTGATTGGGTCTCTAGAGAACACCACCTGCAGTTGTCAGTAAGCTTGAGACTTTGGCAGGGACTGGGGACCAGTGTGTTCCTGCCTTGGCTGTGGTCTTCCTCCCCAAGTCTGCCTTGGGATGGGAAAGAGGGGGATTGAACCAGCTCCTTTCTCCTCCCCAGCACAAAGGGGACAGTGGGGTCCAGAAGCTGGACAGCTTGAAGAGTGACCGACTGAGGACAGTCCAGCTCAATGTTTGCAAAAGTGAAGAAGTGGAGGAAGTGGTGGAGATCATCCGCTCAAGCTTGAAGAACCCTGAGACAGGTAGGGGTGTACTTGGGGCAGCAGAGGTGTTGTGTGGGGCCATTCTAAGGGGACCCTCCCTCAGTTACACCCTCCATTTACTGTAATCCTGCCAAAAATTCCTTTCTTTATTGTTTACAGTCTTCTTCCTGCGCAGTAGGAAGAAGTGGCTTTAATTTAACATGCCCATATAATAGGGCAATGTGAAATAAAGCCAGAAGGTGATTTCAGAATCCATAGGAGTGGTAAAGGGATGTGGACTGGTTCAGGTCAGTTCAGCCAACAGTCACTGAATGCCTGCTCTGGGCCAGGTGCTGGACTGACTGCTAGGGACACAGTCCCTACCCTGAGACCTCACAGTTTGGTGGGGGCACTGATCTGGGTGATGTCATGGACCAGTGTTCTGAGAGAGGTAGACAAGCACAGGAAAGAGGGACTTAGCCTAGTCTTGGGGGTGGGGGAGGAGAACGAGACAGTTGGGGCATGTTGGGGCAGAGAACGAGTTTACCATTCCAGTAAAGGGGAGAGCATAGACAGAGGTTCTGTAGTGGGAAACAGCAGGGTGTACTGGGAAAAGAGAAACAGTTTGGTATAGGTTGTGGGTCAAGTCTGGTGGAGGTGGAGGCAGCAGATGGGACTGGAGAGGGGGCCAGATATCCAGGGCTTTGGGTGTCAGACAAGGGAGCATTGCCAAGGGCAGCAGGAGCAGTCACTGGAGGGATTTTAACATGGGGAATAACCTAGTCAAATTTGTGACATCTCATGCTGGGGACTGTGGAGGGTATATTTAAGGGGGGCACATGAAGAAAGATCTCAAAGTAAGGTAGTGGGCACTGGGAAAGAAGAGAGATCAGATCTGAGGAATACTGAGAAAGCGTAACTGGCTGGACTCAGTGATTGATGAATGTGGGTATAAGAGAGAGGCAAGAGATCCCTATGCTGGACATCTGCCCCCCTCACTGGAAGGGGCATGTTGGGGAGATGCTGAAGCACCCATGAGACACCCTAGCGGAGGGTCCTGGCTGGAGATCAGGTGCCCTTGGGGGGAAGTGAGACTGGGGTGGAGGAGATGCAAGGAGGGACTTGGTGAACGTGGGGATTGGGCACCAGGAGAGGGCAGGAGACCAAGGAAGAACTGTCAAAGACATTGGAGAATGTGCCCCCGAAGCTAAAGGAACAGAAAATTTGGGGGCCAGTAGCTGACAGAGTCAAATGCTGCAGAAAGTACCCATTACTCAGGCATCCTCCCAGGTAGGCCACCACATGGAGGACTTTGGTGGCAGGGGCTCTTCTACAAGTCCAGAGACACCATTCACCTAGAATACAACAGTAATGGTGCTCCCCAGAGTTTGGCAGCATGGCAGCATCCTGGAGTAGCTAGTCTGGCTACTCTTTCGTCTATGAGATTTGCCCTTGAGCTTCCTGGCAGCCCGTGTAGACAGGGAAGCATGCTTCAAGTGAGCCTCATTTCAGCTCTCTGCTTTCCTGCCGAATGGGTTGGAGGCAGCTCTTCTGAGCAGTGACTAGGTACTGAGGGAAGTGGTTGGGTAACCACTGTGTTGGGCACTCTGCTTAGTGTTTATGAGTCAAGTGGAAATGCTGGTCATCTTGAGCAACCCCCTCAGAAGCCTCTGTGCTATGAGGCATCAGGCAGAGCGGCTGTTGTCAGGCTGTCAGCCTATCACTGATGTATGTATGACCTTGTCAGTCCACTGCCGTCCCTACCCCCCACGACAGGCCATTCTCAATGCCGGCCCCCCTTCTCTGAGAAGAGGCCCGTAAGTTCCTGAACTCACTGAACATCTGTTTAATAATTAATAGGCAGAGCCAAAGCGCCTGTCCCATTAAGAAAAAGCAGTATGGGTCCCACTGCGATGATTACCAGCTCAGAATGCATAGCCTGCTTCACCCCCTCCCCAGTGGTAAATCCTCCCGCTGCCTGCCTTCCTCACCCGGCTGGGATATTGCCTTAATAAACTATTAGGCAAGAAAACAGCTGCAGTCAGCACCATAAAGCCACTTCATTACAGCCTGTGGGTTTTGTGGTGATTTAAGATGCTCATGGAAAGGAATCGTCACTGTGGACCTGAGGAGAGAATGAGGCTGCTTAGGGCTGTGGTCCTAGTCCCGACACGGGGTTGGGACTACTTCTGTGGCCTATATTGGACTGGCCAGTTAGCCTAACTGGGCAAAGCGTGAGGAAGTGCCCACCCCCAAAATTGGATCTGGGCTCAAACCAGAGCACCACCCCTGAGGCACAAACCTTTTCCGACTGCTTTTTTCCATATGATGCATTCAGGGGTGGGTTTGATAAATCACTCACCATGACCTTACTTAACCAATATTGCATTTCTTGGGAAAAGATTTGAAGATTTTTAGGTCTGAGAAAGAAAATAAATTAGTCAGATATGTGGTTGTGTGTGACACACACACACACACACACACACACACTCACTCACACTAAGGTGGTCTTTCCTAGGAAAGCAGAAATTCCTCCCTCTTCTCAGACAATGCTGACTTTGAACTCCAGGTGGCGCCCTCCCAGAACTTCAGACTGTCTTGCCAATTCCTAAACAGTAGCCACTGTTGACTCACATCCAAGCAGGAAACTTCCAGAAGAGTTGTCTCCATTCCCTAAGCTGTGGGGGGCACATTTGGATGGCAAGTTTGATGTCCTTCACCTTGGTTCCTGCTTGGAGGAAGCCAGCCACAGGGGGTGAGATGAAGGGATTGCATGATTTAAGCCGGTGAGCCATCTGCTACCAGTCCTCCCCAGCAGGACTCTGAAGGCCTGGACATCTGGAGCCTGTGACCAGCCCTCCGCCTCCCACCCCAGGGGGAAGCTGAGTGACTGAGCCAACTGGTGTGCTGTGAGCATCGTCTGATCTTAGTACCATCACTTACCAGTCAGTTTGGTAAATGTTATTGAGTAGGTACCTGCTGTATACGTGGTAGTGGCTGAGCACCAGGACAGATACGACCTGGCAGGAAGACTTTACAGTTGGACAAGAACCAAGTATGCATTGGTGGCTTCTGCGCAGGACTTCTGAGGGGCAGCTATAGCATTGATGGGACATTATCAATGCCATGGGCAGGGAAGACCTTACATATGGACACCCTCAGTCTGGGAATGAGAGGACTGGATTTACTCTGAGCTTAACCTCTTATTAAGGAGCCCATTGGTACAGTAGTTAAGGCATTTTGCTGCTAACCAAAAGGTTGGCAGTTTGAACCCACCTAGCCACTCTGTGGGAGAAAGATAAGGCAGTCTGATTTATAGCCTTGGAAACCCTGTGAGAGTTGACTTGATAGCAGTGAGTGTGGGTTTTGGTTTTCACTTCTAACTGGAAATATGACCTTAGGTTTATACCTTTACTTCTTTGGGCCTCAACTTGCCCATCTGTGAAATGGGAAAAGTACTTCACAAGCCATCCCGTGCTCACCCAGATCCAGCTACTGTAGCATCGTGGGTAGAATTTCAACAAAAGTTGTTCTCTGGCTGAGAGTGGGGGAGGTGAGCAGAGGTTGGAAGGGGCTGTGATGTCAGGGAGTAGTGGCAGGCTGTTCAGACTTAGAGAAGGCAGAATATGGACAGAACAGTATGGAGCAGGAAGTGACTGATGAGAGCAGCCGGGCTGCCTATAGGAAGATGGGTCAGCTGAGGGTCCTGGGTAAAGACACACACAGAGGGAGGAGGTTTCTCTAATAACACAGAGTGGAAACAGGAAGGAACCAACAACAGCAGGGAGGATAGAGCGTGAGAGCTGTGCTGTCAGACAGACTTGGTCCACACCTGCCCCTTTGCTTGTTAGCTGGATGACGTTGTGCCAAGTGCCTCATCCAGATACAGGACAATTTCGGTTGACCAATTATAGGTGGGTTGTGAAGATCAGGTGAGTTAATGGGTGCAAAGTGCTTAGTTCAGAGCCTGGCAGCTGTCATTTTGATTTTCATCAGTAATATTAAAGTAGTTGGTGGTGACTCATTAGATGGGGAGAAGTGAAGGAGCCAGGAGTCAAAGATGAAAGTGAAGCTGTTAACAAAGAGGAGGAACTGGCTTGGGCAGTTTGGGAAATTGATGTGTTCATTGTTGTTTAGGTGAGTTGGGGACCTGTGAGACATTAGGTGGAGGTGACTATCAGGAGGAGGAAACTGGGGTCAGGAGAAAGCCATAACTCTCATGGGGTACATGGGAACCACTGATGTTGAGGTGATGTTTGGGGCCATTGCAGGTAAGTAGCTGTAACTCAGGCCAGCAGGAGTGTGGTTTTGAGTTTATTCAGAATGTTGCCTGAGCACTCCAGAGAGCTACTGGGTCCACAAACAGTTACTACTTATCAACTCATCAAAGCAATCATCCATGAGTAATGTTCTTCACAGGCTAAATTCAATTAAACGTTTTTTGGATATCAGTGCCAGCTATAATGGTTTTGATTTTTGTGTGTAGAAAAGAGATTATATGCATTTGAGGTCGTGTGATACTGTCTTGTATGAATTCAAGCACAAAGCACCTGGAAGATTCCACAAACTGAGTGACTGGGCCAACTGAGCCAGTGTAATTTGGGAGAAGCAGGCCTAAGACAGGTCGTTAGAAGACCTTTATATTAAAGGGGCAGGTGTGAGGGAGGATGGAGGATGGTCATTAATGCCAAGGGACAAGTGAGTGCTAAGGGGGATCAGAGTGAAGGTCGGCAGGAGCAGGTGGTCTTTAGCATACAGCACCCTGGAGAGCCTAGAGACTGCAGGGTCTGGACCAGCAAGAGGTAGGACTGAGAACCCAGAAAGGTCAGGAAATAGAAAACTGGAGAGGAAAGATTATGTTTTCAGAAGTCTAGCCTTAGAAAAAAGGAGAGAAGACTGTGGCGTACGGGATAGCATGGTTAAAAGAGGTTTCATTAAGATATGGGGACATGGTTTTTGTAGATATTTGTTCTTTTAACACTTATTGAGCACCTAATGTGTACAGAAGGAGCTCTGGTAGTGTAGAGTTTGGCTGCTAACCAGAAGGTTGGTGGTTTAAACCCCATCAGCTGTTCTGCAGGGAGAAGATGAGGCAGTCTGCTTCCGTAAAGATTTACAGCATTGGAAACCCAGTGGGGGTTGTTATGCATCAGAATCGACTTGATGGCAATGGGTTTGTTTGTTTTTAATGTGTACAGAGGAGTTCCTGGGTGGTGCAAACAGTTAACCACTTGCCTGCTAACTGAAAAGTTGAGGGTTTGAGTTTACCCAGGGGTTCCCCAGCAGAAAGCCCTGGCAATCTGCTTCTGAAAAGTCAGCGTTGAAAATGTGATGGAGCACAGTTCTACTCTGACACACGTGGAGTCACCATCAGCCACAATTGACTGGACAGCAATTTTTATTTATTTATTTTTAAATGTGTACAATGTTGAGGAGAAGGAGCCAGGGACAAGGGAAAAGTTGGTTGCAGTTGCCTAAACAGGAGGGAAGGATTGGTGGGTTGTAGTTGAGAAGATGGAGCATGAACTATCAGCCTAGAATAGTAGAGAGTGGCTTCCTGCTCTTCCTGGGAAGAGAGAGTGGCTGAAGCCTCAGGGGAGGCTGCAGGGCTAGGCTGGAAGCTGTGGGAGGCTGGGGTAGATGACTCTGATCTCCTCATTAGTGGCCACTGCCAGGTCGTGGATGAGACAGAGAGGGAGGCTTCAGAGCTGCCGCTATGGGGGGTGGGAAAGAGCACTTCATGAACATTTTGTTAACCAGCAATTTCCTTTCCCTAATAAATGTCCTTAATTCTCCATAATTGAGGGAGAAGACACCAGAGGTCAGCTGATGAAGCTTTAATTTGGGTAACACGGAAGGAAAGCAGCTAGAGAGCAATTACTCTGTCATTGACACAAACTCATTTCCATGATTAACTCTAAAAGCAGGCAGGGCAAAGGACCGAGGTGGGGAGCTCTGTTCTGAGACTGCTGGAGGCCATGAGGAGACTGTAAACCCTGAGGGTTTCCACAATAAAGAGGCAGCACAGACTCTGTCCTGGGGCCTGTCCAGTGTTTGCACCCAAAACACCAAACTCAACAAGGATCCTACAAAACAAAGCTGCTCCTTCTTGCCTCTTTCCTCCAATTCTACTCTGCCTCAGACTTACTGGGTAAACTTAAGTCAGTCCTTTCCTCTCAGGGCCTCAGTTTCTCTATCTGTAAAACTAGTTATCAGACTAAATGAACTCCAAGGAAACTTCTACCACTATTGTTCTCTGAGTCTACAAAAGCCAGCTGTCCCTTGTATAGTTCATCAGGAAACAGTCAAGCCAAGTATGTGTGTGTGTATTTTTTTTTCCATGAGCATTTTTTTAAACTGTGATTTAGGTGAAAATTTACAGAGCAAAGTCATTTTCCGTACAGCAGTGTGTACACATTTTGTCTCATAACATTGACTACAATTCCCCAAAATGTAACAGTTCTCGTCTCACTTCCTCCCCATAGTTACATCTTTACTGTGGCCTTCCCTCCCATGTACTCCTGCCTCCTGAGTTGTCTCCCTGTGCATACACAGCCCTTCTATTCTCCCACGATTGATTTCTCTAAGGAGTATATCTACCTGATGTAAATGTTCAGCCCATATGCCTATTATTTGGCTAGAAGCCACAGGAGTGAGTTCAATTCCAGACCTGAAGAGTAGCTAGGGACCATAGTCTCAGGGGTCTCACCAGGCTCTATCAAACCAGCAAACCTGGTCTTTTATTTTTTTTATGATTTTGAGTTTTGTTCCACATTGTTCTCCTACTCTATCCAGGATCCCCAATACCAATCCCCCTCCAAGTTTTTGACAGGGCACCATCTAGTTCTTCTGGTCTCATGGTCATAATAGGCTAAGGATTGATTGCATGGTCTACCAGTCCCCTGAACTAGGTGTTTCCATGCATCTTTGGTTTTCTTCATTCTTCTTTGCTCTGGACAAGGAGAGACCTATTGTTGCATCTAGATGGCCACCTGCAAGCTTTTAAGACCTCAGTTGCTAATCACCAAAGTAGTATGTAGAACAATTTTTTGTGTAGTATGTTATACCAACTAAGATTGATGCCCCATGCAACCTTGGACCTGAGCCACAGGTCCAACTACTTGTTCCCTCCATGTAGCTGGCTGTAGCCAAGAAGTCACTATAACCTTGTCCCAAGTCAAGTATATTTGAAGAGTATACATTTGCTCTGACCCTCTACTTATCCCTGTGGGATCACACAAGGATGAAGGGTGGTTCTACCTGTGAGGCCAGAGATCTACACATGGGATATTGGTGGACAGGTTACTGTGGCATGACTTACCATGTGAGATAACCAGCAAACAATGCCATGACTCAGAGAAGAGAGATTAGGGTCAATTGTTAGGAAGGGCTTACGGTGGAGAAGGACTGGGGCCTGGCCTGAAATCAAGTCTTGGCCGGGCCTCAGCTTGCTGTGTGACCTTGGATGCTGGGCCCCCTCTCTGGACCTCCCAGGGGGTTGGTCTGGAAGATTCCTGAGGTTCCCTGGCTTCAAGCAAGAGGGAGAATGTAATCAAAGGCACAGAGACGGAGTGAATAAACAAGTGCATGGATATGGGGTGCAGGGCAGTTGAGGGAAAGGGAGACTGGATGGGGTGCAGTAGAAGTGTTTGAGGTGAGATGGGGTTTGAGGCTTGGGAACGCAGCAGGCCTGGGTCACGATTCAGGCAGTAGCAATAGCCAGCCTTGGTGAGATGAAGACGGGGTATTCTAGATTGCAGGGAAGGCCACGGCCAGCATTTGGGGCCTATCTCCTATCATCCTTGGGTGACCCTAAAAATGTTATATGGGCAAGAGGCTGGTAAGTCATGGGAGATGGGGACAAAAGTGAGGAGGGGGCTGGGCTTCAGGCTGATGTATGAGGCTGAGCTCCTGTGGTGACTGCCGGACTGTCCTCTCCTGTCCAGGGCTGTGGGGCCTGGTGAACAATGCAGGCATCTCCACCTTCGGGGAGGTGGAGTTCACCAGCATGGAGACCTACAAGGAGGTGGCAGAAGTGAACCTCTGGGGGACAGTACGGATGACAAAATCCTTTCTCCCCCTCATCCGAAGGGCCAAAGGTAAGTTAGAAAGTGACCTCCTTCCTGCCTCCTGGACCTGCTCCACCCTTCCATTTTGGCTCAGATGCCAAGGCCTATCTCAGCAGGTCCAACATGCATAACCCAGCAGGCTGAGCTCCTGAAGCCATGCTGGGCCTGGGGATGTTGGTGAACAGAATTTCTGTGACCAGCTATAATCCCACTTCTGGAACCTAATCTAGAGTAATAGCCACCCAGTGCACAAAGCTTTGTGTGCACATTATATTAGTAGGGTGTGGTTAAGTCAGGTTTGGCATATTCATTCTATTGGTTATTATGCTGTAGGATTTTTTTTTTTTTTATGAGACAATTAGGGTATTAAGTTTTTTTTTTAAATGAAGAGTAGAAATTTGGAAGAACAAAACACTCAAACCATGTTGGGTAGCCAAATGTAAACAAATCATCTAAGAAGTCACTGACTGGTTTTCTCCCTAGAATAGCAAACTATTGTGCAAAAAAGGCAAGACCCATAGACTCTGTCCTAAAGTCCCAGCAATAACAGGGGTGCATGCACACAGAGAGCAGCTATAGGATTTTAGAAGAAAACCCCAACCCTTCAATAACCTTGACCATAGAGGTTCTTACGGGGTGCCTCCTGCAGTGTTCAGGATATGCTGTGGGTACTTTCCCGAGCCCCTTCCTGGTGGTCTGCTTCTAGGTCTACCTGGGGTCACATGTCCAGGCTGGACAGGTTCTACCTCCAGCCCCACTGCCTTCAGTGCTGGGAGAAGCCGTGGGAAAGGGATGTGTGGTTTTCAGAAAGAGCACCTAAAGGTCTATGCTGTCTAGCACCCACAGGCCATGCTGTCTTCTTCCAGGTTGCCACTCTCTTCCAGTGCCCAAGACCGCCCACATGTCCTAGCCCTGAAGTCAGGTTCAGAATTCCTGCACCTCCCCAGCCTGCGCCCCTGTTTGCCGGCTGTCTTGAGCTCCCAGGGTAGAGTGGAGTTGGGGGATCTGTTCTAATAGCACAGGTCCTTCTGCTTTTCCAGAGTTGCCTCAAGGTCCTCCCTGCAGGCCTCAGCCCTCCAGTGTCCTCCTTCCTCTGCACTCCCATGTCCCGCCCTATTGTTGCCCTCAGTCAATCCACACTTGGACTCAGCCTTATTACTAGTCTGTATGTCTTATTACTTGAGCTCAATTTGAAGCTCCCCAAGGCTCTATTTCTCCTTGACCAGCATCAGGCCTTGCGTATAGTGAATGCCATACAGACACAGCTGTGTTACCTCCCACATTCTCCCATTGCATTTCACCCTAAATTATCATTTCCCAGCAAGGCATTGTGTCTTGATTACAGTGTCCCTTTCTGGTATGCAAGACTTGTTTCTCCCTCATTTCTCTTTCTCTGGGAACTACTGGGGATGTTGACACTGATGTCTGGGCCCAGAGCTAGTTTTCATTACTATCTTAGTTTCCTCATGCTGTTGTAACAGAAGCACCACAGACGGGTGGCTTTAAAGAACAGACATTTATTTTCTCACAGTTTAGAAGGTGAGGAGTCTGAATTCCGGCCACTGGCTTCAGGAGAAGGCTCTTGCAGTCAGCCCTGGGGGAGGATCCTTCTCTCAGCTTCTGTAGCCCCAGCGTTTGTCTGTCCTTGGCAGTTCTCACCTGTGCATCTGTCTGCCCCATTTGTGCCTGCTTGTCTGTGTCTGTTGCTCATTGTGTAACTCAGAAGTGATTAGGTTTAGGGCACAACCTGTACTGATAGGGCCTCATTAACATAACAATGAGATCCTTGCTTCCAGACAGGATTACAGCCACAGGCATGTTGTTGTTAGGTGCCATCATTCTGTTCACACTCATAGTGACCCTAGGTACAATAGAACGCAGAACGCAGCACTGCCTGGTCCCGTGTCATCCTAACAGTCATTGCTATGCTTGAGCCACGGGCATGGGGGTTAGGATTCATCTCAGTTCTCTAGTGCTGCCGTGACAGAAATACCACAAGTGGGTGATTTTAACAAATTTATTTTCTCAGTTTAGGAAATAAGAAGGCCAAATTCGAGGCACTGGCTCTAGGGGAAGGCTTACTCTGTCGGCTCTGGGGGAAGGTCCTTTTGTCTTCTCAGCTTCTGTTCCTTGGTTCCTTGGCAGTCATCATGTGGTGTGTGTCTTCCCCCATCTGTGCTTGCTTGCATCTGTGCCCAAACTGCTACTTTTATATTTCAAAAATGATTGATTAACACATACCCTGCACTGATAGGGTGATTTAACATAACAAAGAAAACTCTGTTCCCAAGTGGAATTACATTCACAGGTAGAAAGGTTAGAATTACAACACATATTTTTTGGGGACACAAATCCGTAACAGGATTCCAAAACATATCTTGGGAGGGATACAATTCAGTTCATAACCACTACCAAATAAAAAAGGGCTCCTGGCTGTGGGTGGCTCAAAATCCAGGCCCCAGCATGGTAGGCACCAAAATAGGTGTGAGAGGCCAGGATGGCCAGGTTCCAGCCAGGGCTCCAGAAAGCTGCCAGGCCACGGCCTCTGCCCCATGAGGCAGTGTCACCTGAGCAGGTATTTGCCATCTCTCTCCATAGGCCGCGTTGTCAACATCAGCAGCATGCTGGGCCGCATGGCCAACCCAGCCCGCTCCCCATACTGCATCACCAAGTTTGGGGTGGAGGCCTTCTCTGACTGCCTGCGCTATGAGATGCAGCCGCTGGGTGTGAAGGTCAGTGTGGTGGAACCTGGCAACTTCATCGCAGGCACTAGCCTCTACAGCCCTGAGCGCATCCAGGCCATCGCCAAGAAAATGTGGGACGACCTGCCTGAGGTAGTACGCAAGGACTACGGCAAGAAATACTTTGATGAGAAGATCGCCAAGATGGAGAACTACTGCAACAGCGGTTCCACAGACACAACTCCTGTCATCAAAGCTGTCACACATGCCCTGACTGCTAACACCCCCTATACCCGCTACCACCCCATGGACTACTACTGGTGGCTGCGGATGCAGCTCATGACCCACTTGCCCGCAGCAGTCTCTGACAAAATCTATATACACTAAGGAGTTTCTCTGTGGCCTCTGTCATGGAGCCCTGTGGGAGGGAGAAGTAAGGGGGCAGGGAGAAACTGAGGGAGGGACTTATATAGTCACCTCTTGTACCCACTTGTGGCTCATCCACAGCAGTGTCCTCGGAGGACCCACTAACCACAGGGAGTAATCCAGTGTGACCTATTTGCATAGTGAGTGGTTTGAGCCTTCACAAAAGGAGTATGTAGTGATGGGCCGGGGGCCCCTAAACCCCGGGGCAAACATGGTGCATCCATTTTTCTGGAGTTTATTTTATACAAAGATTTGGGAAAACAACTTTATATTAAAAAACAGATTTATTGAAGAATCCAAATTCCCTTATATTTTTAAGCCAAAATGTTAGTTCATAAAGTTTAACTCATTTGATCCTAAGGCAGTCTTTTTCTTATATGTGAAGAATGTGTGGCCCAAAGAAGATACAAACCCACTGCCAGTGAGTCAACTCTGACTCATAGTGAACTCTGTAGGGTTTCCAAGCCTGTAAATCTTTATGGAAGCAGACCACCTCATCTTTCTCCCTCAGAGCAGCTGGTGGGCTCAAACCACTGATCTTTTGGTTGTTGTTGTTGTTATGTGCCGTCGAGTCAAACCCGACTCATAGCGACCCCTCCTTGGGTTTCCAAGGCAGTATCACTACGGAAGTAGGATTGCCCAACCTTCCTTCCGAGGAGTGGCTGGTGGGTTTGAACCGCCAGCCATCTGGTTAGCAGGCAAGTGTCTTAGCCACTATGCTAAAAATGCCTTAGCCCCTGCACCACCAGAGCTCCTTAAAGAGGATACAGGAATAACTTTTGTATTTGTTTGTATGTGGAGCAACTGGGCTTGAACCTGGATCTTTTGGGCCTACATTTTGTGTTTTGTAAGAAGTTGTACAGACACGTCACATTCCAGGGCTGTTTGGATGCATTTACCTGAGAATCATCTGAGCCACACATACCAAGTGCCTACTGTGTGCCCCCATTTCATGTCCATGGTGCTGTGGCAGCTGGGTGATTCAGGGCTGTTCATGGAGGGGGTGGGACCGTTTTAGGGCTTTTCCACTTGGGATTTTTCTGATGCCTTTTAGGACTTAAGGATAGACTTGTATGGAGATGCTCTTTGGCTAAGGGGGGCAGTTTGTTCCTCATTTGGGTCTGTTTGGTTTGGCCTGGGGTGGAATTGAGTCTTAGCCATGGTGCTAAGACTGGGCACTGTGGCCCCTTCTCCCCAAGGGTGGGTCCGGGATCAAGTCTCTATCTGCCTCACTGATTCTCACACTCACACAACACATCTGTTTCTTGGTGGTTCGTCTTCCTGCTATTACCTTATTTTTAATAAAGAAGCCAGGTCACTGACAGGAGAGTCTGTGTCCTCACTTCTTCAGTTTGGGTCTGAAACAACCTTCCTTGCAATTGCAAGGGTCTGAATGTTTGGACCAAACCGAGGCACCACCGTCCCCAGGTGGTTGCAGGCTCAGGGCAGAGTCCTGAGGACCAGTCTGGAACTCGCACTAGAATTCATCCCTCTCCCTGGAGGAGCAGGGCCTGCCGCTAGAGGGCTCCCTGCTTCCTCCGCAGCTGGTGCGGGCCACCCCAGATCTTTTCTTCGGAGCTTCCACCCAAGCCTGAGGTTTCTCAAAGCGTTCGTGATCCACTCCGTGGAGACAGTCTAGACACAAAGAAGCAAGCCCCCTTTAGAAACTCTTCCTGCTCCTCTAACAAATGCCTGGCTTAAACCTGGAGCCTGATGCCATGAGAACCCGGGCAGCGGGAATGAGCCCCTAGGGGCAGAGGTGAGGGTAAGGGGGGGGTCTCACGATGTGCAGTTTGTCTTTGGGGGCCTTTGTCTCTGTCTTCTAACAGGGCCGCCCCCTCTCAGTTCCCAATCTGCAGGTTAAGGCCAGGAGGGCCCAGTAGGGCTGAAACCCTCCTGAGCCCTGAGAGGCAGGGCACTCCTGGCTATTGTGTTTACATACCAATAAGATCTTTTTGTACCAGGACCCTTTCAGGCGGATTTTGTTTTCATGCTTGATTTTATCAAAGGAAAATGGATGCAGCCCTTGGCATTAACCTATGCATTGCTACCCGAGAACTAGAGGGAACGGGATATGGTCACATGCTCTAGATCCGGGTCAGCAGTAAACTGGAGAAGCTGCATCCGCTGGGGTCTCCAGGAATAAGACGGGACCGCTGGGCTGACTTGCAGACTCTGATGTTTGATTTTTATTCCAGTGATTGAAAGCCCAGATAATCTCAATGCTCGTTAAAAGCTCACAATTTCCATTCATTTTGTCAGCCTAGAGCCAGCTGATCTGGTTTGGATCTTTACAAGAGAGAACTGAAGTAGCTAGAACAAGGATTGCTGCTCTCATTTTGTAGATGATTATCGTGAGACCCAAAGAGAGGAAGTGTCTGGGGAGAACTGAGGCAGTACAAGTGTTTTTTGGCTGTGAGTTGTCCCTTCTTGTGAGGGTGGGGTAGTGAGGAGGCCTTCCATAGGCTGCATCTAGCTTGCACTGTCTGGTTCTGCCTGAACAATTGGTGCCCACAAGCTCTGGCTTGGTGGGAGTGGCATCTCCAGCATTCCTCCCCTTGGAAAGAGTCACTGGGCCCATGAGGCCTGAGGATTCTCGTCCCACTGTTTCCTCAGTCTGGTAATCCAGGGCCTATATTGTAGGAGTCAACAAGCAGCAGGCCATCGTTAGTCAGTAGCTACCCGGCACCAGGCCCAGAAGCAAAGCATTCATTCTCATTTGACCTTCACCAGGGCCTGTGAGTTGAGAGAGGGTCCAGCAGCCCCTGCCGGTTTCAGCTCTGCCACCCACTGTGATGTGACCTTGAGCAAGTCAAGAGCCTCACAGGCTAGAAGAGGGAAGGCGTTGCACACAAAGCCTGGAGCTGTGGGAGGGGTTCAAGCCAGCTCAGATTGTACCCAGGACTTTGCCCAGTTCCTCTGTCTGTAGGGGACCCTGGTCTGCTGCCTCCAGCCAGCGCTAACCCTGCTGAGACTGGGGGAGGGCTTTTTGTAAGATTTCCTGACACTGTCTTGTTACCCAGCTCATGCTGCACATAACATTTCACCTGAGGCCAAGAAGGGGTATAAGTGGGCGACAAGCTGGCCTGGTATTGCCTGTTAAAAGCACCTAGGGCTGTGCCCCTGACACCCATGGCAGGGAATCTGCTAAAGAGTCCCCACTTGTGTGAACCTCTCTTCCCTAGTGCAGGGCCGGTGTGAGCAGAGGCTCCCCCAGTATGGGGGGAGGGAGTATCTGTGCTCAGCTGCCAGATAATGAGGCACAGCTATGCAGTGCTGGGCACTTTTCACAGCCAGTTGGCCACCTCCTCTCACCTGATTCTCACCTCAGCCTGGGAGCTAGGTAGGGTGGGGTTATTATCTATTATCTATTTTATGGATAAGGAAGTCCCTCACACCATGAGCCCTAGGATTGGGTCTCCAAACCAGGTCTAACTTCAGCACAGAGCTAGTGATACATGAAAAGCCGAGACAACAGCACCAGGATCTCAAATAACGAGGAAAAAATACCTCAATTATGTAACAGAAAAATGTTTAAGCAGATGCACAATAACTACAACAGAGTACAGGCATGTAAGCCAGTGCCTCCTTCCCTTCCCCTCTGGACCACTTTGAACCAGTTCATTCATAGCTGATGAAGTGAAATCAGAACAGACCTGCATTTATAAAATGTGGTGTACCAGAATGATTATTGGAACAGGAAAAATTATGGTCAAAGTCCTGGATTGGGACACTCAGAAGAGGTGTAGTGAGCCCTTTCAGAAGCCTAATGTAGGAAATTGGATCATTGCCAGGACTGTGGAGCATAACATACATTTAAAGCAGTGTGGTCAGCTGCCATCTTTGAGTGGAGTACCGTTGTTTCCAATTCTGCTGATCAAGAGATTTGATTGATATGCAACATGCACACTGGCCTTGTTTTCTAAGAGGGAGATTAAGTTTCCTTTACCTCAGTTATTGTTCTGTTACACCCACATTTTACAAATTCAGGTCCCTTCTGGTTTCACTTTGTTGGCCATGGCTGAAGCAAGAACCAGTTCAAAGCCTTTCTCTGGACTAGGAGGAGCCCACCGTCTTCCTTCCAGTAGGAAAGCCTCATGTGACCTAACACTGCTCCATTCTGACGGGATGCTCTAGGAATACCAAAGCCTCGACCTTGGGCAGGGAGCTCTGGTAGTATAGTGCCTAAGCTATTTGACTGCTAACCAGAAGGCCAGCGGTTCAAACCCACCAGCCACACCTCAGAAGGAAGGTTGGTCAATCAAATTCTGTAGTGATACCACCTTGGAAACCCAAGAAGGTTGCTATGAGTCTGATCCGACTCAACAGCAGTATACTGCATTGCTTAACCTTGGGCAGGGTTGATTCTTCTCTCAAAGGGTTTGAGGGTTATATGAGCAAAGAGCTTGAGAAATGCAGGGATTCTCTCTCCTCTGATAAGGTGATGGAAACAGAGCAAAACAGAACAAAAGAAAGCCAAAAATCCAGAGCGTAAATCCTTTCTGGTGTGTGCAGGCACTGAGGAAGGGTGATTAGTGAGTGGCTGCTTCAGAGGTGCAGGGCAAGCACTGGTTGGGCTGACAGAGGCTTCCGGGACCCCACAATTTCAGACAAGGAAAAGAGATCAACCATCATCAAGCCTGACTCCACCTCCCAGACAATGGGCCAGCCTGCCAGGGCTTGAGCCCCTCCAGTGACAGGAGCTCATTACCTCCTAAGAGGGGCTTTCCTTAGTGAAACCAACCTGGAAGCTACCATCTGTAACTTAACTCCTTTGGCACCTGGCTATGACATCAGAACTGCACAGAACAATGTTAATCTTTTTCAAGTAGCCTACCAGATATTTGGAAACCACCGAATCTTTTCATGTTCAAGAGGCTAGGTCTCTCAGTTGACAAGGTTGGTACACTCTTCACTCTTAACAGAAGATTTCAGCTGTAACTATCCCATTCCTCATTCTT